AATGGAAACACAGCCGTGTGAGCATCGGGAACACACTGCTGGTGTTTGAGCTTGAGATAACCCTAAATGTTTATTAAATGATTTGAGTAAATTTATTAAACTCATCCTCCTGTTTGAGGGAAATTCGAGTTTTGGGCAGAAATGTAATTTTTCCTGAATTTTGCCGACATGAAGGCTTGTCTCAAGATGTTTGTGAGGAAGACTTGTGTGTTCAGGTTGTGTGGACCAGCTGGGTCAACCAACAGTGTGCTGTGCACGTTGTGGCAATGTGGMCCTGTGTGTTTCTCTTCCTGTCAGGTAAACGTAAAGCTCTGAAGCTGAACTTTGCCAACCCACCGGTAAAACCCACCTCCAGGCTCCCACTCCATCCCACGCCTCCGTCTTTCCAGAACCCTCACATGTGAGTAAAGCCAGCTCCGGTTTCTGTTGTGTTCTGGTTTCGTTTTTGTAAACTATTTGTTCTTACAGTCAGACCAYACTAAAACACTTCTGATGGAGTCTGGATGATCCCAGTTTTTATTTCTGGGCTTTCGTCCTTGTTTTCTGTCCTCTGGGACCAGTCTTTACCCAGTCTGTCCTGGTTTTACAGAGAGCGCCTGCGCACACACAGCATCGAGTCATCAGGAAAGCTGAAGATCTCGCCGGAGCARCATTGTGACTTCACTGCAGAAGATCTGAGAGACCTTGGTGAGATTGGTCGTGGGGCCTATGGCTCCGTCAACAAGATGGTCCATAAACCAACCGGCCAGATTATGGCTGTAAAGGTGAGAAACTCATAAACTGACCTACAGTAGAAACCAGATGTTTACATACTCTAAAACAGAGGTTCTCAAACTGGGGCCTCAGGACCCCCAGGGTTCCGTGAGTTGTGTCTTGGGGGTCCCCAAAAAATTTCAAGAAATTGTTATTTTGGTTTTTATTTCAAAAAATGCATATGGCGAATAATGGACTAGTAAAACAAACATACTAAATCAAACAAAAATACTATTACCATGGCATTTAGGGGTTAAAATTACAGTAAATTATTTTGCATTAACAGCATGTGGTTTATTAAGGGGGTCCCTGGAATTGTTTCACCCTTGTAAGGGGTCCCCAGACCCAAAAAGTTTGAGAGCCCCTGCTCTAAAAGACACACACATTTCTTTTCACACTGTTTGATGTGAAATAAGAATAAACTTTTCCCATTTTAGGTCAGTTAGGATTAACAAAGTCTTTTCTATTTGCTAAATGACAGAATAATAAGAGATAATTTTTTAAAGGCTATTTCTACCACTTTCTTTAAAGGGATCCCTGATTAGTTGTAACATTAGACTTTATTTAATAAACATTTATTTTAACTGTAAAATAAAGACTGAATGTTGTTTGTAGGATGTTTAGTTTTTATCATTTTTAAACTAAAAGTTTAAAAATATATTTTAACATGGACAGAGCCATTTTATTTACACACAAAGCATTCTGGGTAAATGATGACATGGATAGGTCCTCGGTGCGAGGCTGCTAGCGAGCTATATCCACCCTGAAGGTTAATCTTGGACAATATCTGATGATCGACTCTTTTAAATGAAACCAGAGAGTGATGTGAGAGAGGAGAAGGTAGAAATGACTCAGCCTTTAACTGAAAATATGGATGGAGGACAACAGAGCTGCTTCATGGAAGAACCACCTCAGCTTAGCCTGATGGCTTTAGCATTAGCCCAAATGCTATCACCATATATGTGTATTATCTCAGTGCTACACATTCTCCTCTCATCACTGAGGTCCTCCATCCACATAACAG